AACAGAGTTGCAAGTGTTTCGACTGTGCTCGCAATCAGACTCTCTTAATTTAGTAAGCATACTCTTAACCGATAATTGACTTCATTTACTTCATTTTTGCTCTTAACTTATGATTACAATATATTATTACTTCATCCTTTTTTTCTCGTAGCCCATTATTATGATATATTATTACTTCATTTTTTTCCGTTCCCTTAATCTATCATTATATATATGCGTTTTTGCTATATTTGTGCGCGGGCACCATTGTGACTCCGCGTCACAATTTATTAAATTAGAATAAGATCTTAGCTGAGTAAGAGGCAAGGAGCCGTTAATATTATAATTAACTTAATTAAGCGTTATTGATTAAAGGGCAAGGAGCCGTAAGGCTTATTGTTCATGTCGTGCGTATTATTAGAATAAGTGTATAGTTAAGGGCAAGGAGCCCCTCATATCTTAAGTTTGAATTTAAACGCCGGCCGCCGAAGCAACCGTGCGTTGTCGATCGGTTGCTCAACACCGTCGAGAGCGAAACTTCAATTCGGCGGCGAAGAGCGAAAACTCCCGAGGCGAAGTTGCGAAAGCTCGCAACGAAGTTGAGCGGCCGAGTCAAGCACACGGCTCACTTGCGAGCGTGCCAGCACTTTTGGAGCGAATATCAAGGTGAGTAGACGTGTGTCGCAAGAGATAACGCGAGTGAAGAAAAACACAGAGTGTATAGCTTAGAAAACAGAGTATGATAGTGTTTGATAAATAAGGAGCAATACAAGTGAATAAAATTAAGTTAGAAAAGAAATTTTGCTAGTTTTGTTTTTATTTCCTGTTAGCCTTATTCTTTAACATCGGGGCTTGCCGATGTTCAACATAACCCTCTTCCCCCAACCTGAAGTGCAGTTAATGTGGGGCGAGGCTGCTGCCCGGTGGTGAACGTGGTGCGAGGCTGCTGCCTGGTAGAGTGTGCTGCGAGGCTGCTGCCGGTAGTGTGAGCGGTGCGAGGCTACGGCCCGAGAGCGGGTATTTTCAGTTTGCTGTCTGGTAGTGTATGCCGTGCGAGGCCATGGCCCGATAGCAGGTATTTTGAGTTTGCTGTCTGGTAGTATATGTGGTTCGAGGTGTCGGCCCGTCGTTTGCATGATCAACCCCGGCTTAGTGTGTGTGCGTACTTCATGCCCTACCCTGTAGAAATAGTAGTAGGGACCATTTGGTTGAAGGACTTACTTACTTTAAATATTGACGGATAACGGTTCACAAATTTGGTCGAGCTTTTTTGAAGCCTTCTTAACTAAATTTGGCATAGCATCGTTGTACGGCCATATATTCCCCCAAGCAAATGCTAGCAAGAAGTTGAATCGGTTGGTATTGGCACATTCTAATTGGGATGCGAATCTCAGTGTACTAAACGGGAAAGATTATAGCCTTTTGCGTTATTTCGACCTTCTAAGCAACAACACAAGAATTAATAATCCAGAAGCACTACACTGGCAAGGCAAAAAGCCAAATACAACATAAACGAGAAAGAAGGGCTATCTTCGGCACGTCGAAGATTTAATACCCTGGCCGGACGGGCAAATAAAGACACCTCCATCGGTCGGTGATGCTATTAGAAAATTGTGAATTTTATCGCTTAATTTTATTTATTTATTTTTTGTTTTTTTGTTGTTGAGTATGCGACGAATTTTCCAGCAATATTGGCCATAACAAGGCTGGTATGGTAAGTGTTAAGGAAACACCTTGTCAAATGGACAAGGTTTTAATCTTAATTTTTATAATTTGATATATTGTTTTATTAGGAAGACAGACGTTTTTGTCGACTATTTAATAAATAGATAAATTTTAAATGTACTTAATATTCCAATCTATCCTTTGGTAGCTAAATGATACAGTAGTCCGAAAATAAAGAGATTATTGACTAAGACGTCTTAATAAACAAAAGACATTTGTTGGCGCAGATCCGCGCATTGAGTTTAAAAATGAATTTTTAAAACATTAAGTCTAGTGTAAGTTAGGTTTAGGGCGGAGCGAGAGCGCAATAAAGCTTTATCACTCGCTTTGGAGCGAATTCTCCTCGCTTCGCCGCCTTAGCGTAATGTATGCTTAAGTCAGTTGTCGAATTATATAAAAGCGATACGCATAGCACTCTTTCAACCCACCACAATTTTAAATTTGTTTAATTATATAAACTAATATAATTTTTCAAGGCGCCCCCGGGTGGACTCGTTTAAAAGATAATTGTGTGTAAAATACAAACTCAAGTGGTTTAACTGCAAAGCTGTGGCTAGCGAGTGAATTAAAATTAAAAATAAAAATTAATTCGCATCGGCCGGAAATATTAAAAAAAAAAATAATAATAAATCTGTCCTGCTGCCATCGTTGGGGAGAGACCAAGGGCTTGTATATAAATGCAGTACAGGCATACATATACACGTACAAAGCAAGCCAGCTGCAGCCCGTTTATTTTCGTTCCGCTTTGTGCTAAGCGGTGGCTGTGCAATTGTTTTTGTACGCATTTTTCGTTGGCGCGTTTCGGTCAAGAGACGCTCGCTCCACTAGGCTTTATGGATCAGGCATATCAGTTTTTGGCCTCACATATAGATACAGCGTTAAAATATCAGACTCGAGTAGAAGCTTTTGACCCAGATAATGAGTATCGTGCCGAATTCGAAGAACTTTGTGTAACGACAAAGGCTCGTCTGAGGTCCGTTATCAAGACATTAAGTCCTGCAACGCCTATAGACATGCCCGTTGCGTCTCCACGCACATGTCTTCCGCCTTTGGCACCTCCCAAGTTTAATGGAAAATACTCCGAGTTTAAGAATTTTATTAACCTGTTCGAAACTCTTGTTTATAACGATCATGCGATCCCGAGCATAGAGAAATTCAATCATCTGATCTCATGTCTCTCAGGTGAAGCTCTAGGCCCTGTTAAAAAGTTTCAAGTCACCGAGGACAATTATTTAAAAGCATTGGACAGCCTAAAGAGAGTATACGACAATGAATATCTAATATTTTATGAAAATATTTCGGATCTCTTTAGCCTGCCAAAAATAACGCAGCCCTCCGCGGCATCATTGAGATCAATGATTGACACTGTCTCCGCCATTTATGGATCGCTCCTGTCAATAGGTGATGACAAAAAGATTTCTAATGCAATTCTTTATGAACAATTCGTTATGAACAAAGTTGACCCAATGACCAGACGAAAATGGGAGGATCAACTCGATCATGCAATCATTCCACTATGGAGTGATTGTGAAACAGCCTTAAATCGTAGATACCAACACCTTTCTGCTGAAGAATCAGCCAAAGCTTCGTCCGATTGCCAGAAGCCAGAGTCAAAGGCTGTTTCCAAAAACAATAATCAACGTTCGTTTCCGTGTTCTGTGGCTAGTGGAAGACACGATCAAGTTTATATTGCGGTTCCGAAGGCCATTCGATATTGAATTGCTCAGCATATGCCGCGTTATCAGTACACCAGCGGTTTGAGTTCGCTAAGGCGGCTCCTTTATGCATCAATTGCCTTCGGAAGGGGCACACTGTTGGCAAATGTAAGGCAAACAAGTGCAAAATATGCAGTCGTTCTCATAATACACTGTTACATAGATACTCTGCCGTTTCTACCACTCGAGCGTTACCACCACCCCTTGACTCCGCACAGGATCATCCATCGACTTCACATGCTATGCATGCGAATGTGTCTGATAGTGTAATCCTAGCTACCGCAGTCGTTAGCGTTAAAACGAGAAGTGGCGAGTTCGTTTTGGCTAGAGCTTTACTCGATTCTGGATCACAAATTAATTTTGTAGCAGACGAGCTAGCACAACGATTGCAGCTGCGTAGAGAAGAGGCCAGTATCAGCTTACTTGGGATTGCTTAATGCAATACTCAAATAATAAAGAAGATTCATGCAGTGGTGGAGTCCCGAGTCAATTGCAGTAAGTTCTCGTTAGATTTGTGGATTTTGAAGACCATTGCTGGTTACCAGCCTGACCATACGGTCAATGTCAATGGTTGGAAAATCCCTGAGAACCTGCAATTGGCTGATCCATATTTTCATAAGCCACAGAAGATCGACATGCTCATCGGAGCTGAGACGTTCTTTGAGCTTCTGTCTGTCGGTCAGATTAAACAAGGTCCGAATCGTCCGACTCTGCAAAAGACACTTGTTGGCTGGATTGTATCAGGGCGTTACACGCCGTTAAGTCATGACAAGACTCATGCTGTTTATCTGAGTTGCCAAGAAGAGTCTTATAACTCGATAGACAATTTGTAAAGAAGCTACTGGCCGGGGTATAACTCTCAGTCTTACCAGGTATAGCGAGTTACAAGATATTTATAATTTCGCTGGGAGAGAGGGCTTAAGGGGGAGGGGGGTGAGTATCCTGACCAAACCAAGCCTAGCTCTATTTCTGCACGCCTACACTACCGGGCCGTGGCCTCGTACCAACTACACTAGCGGGCCGTGGCCTCGCACTAACTACTCTAGCGGGCCGTGGCCTCGTACCACTACTCTATCGAAACACCAACCGGTAATGCCCACCCCGGGGCCACAATCTCGTACCACATGCTCCTGCTCGAGGTTAGGTCGAACACCGGTTAATTCCGATGTTAAGGCAAGCCGGGTTACCAGAAAACAAAGAATTATCCAGTTTCTTCTCGATAATTATAACATATGTTCTTAATTCACTTCTTGCCTATTACTACTTTATAGTAACTCACGAGCTAAACCCTGCCGCACTGTTTTCCGGAGCCCTAGCGCTCCGCTATACACTCTATGATCTTTCACGTCTCACGATGCACGTCTACTCACCCTTAGCGTTCGTTCCAAAGTCCCGGCGCGCTCGCCGGCAAGCCATGCGCTTGCCTCGGCCGCTCAACTTCGCCGCGAGCTTTCTTAACTTCGCCTCGTAGCTTTCGCTCTTCGCCGCCGAATTGAAGTTGCGCTCTCGAATGCGGTGTTGAGCAATCGATCAACAACGCACGGTTGCAGCGGCGGCCGACGATTAAATTCAAATTCGCTCTTATAACTTTCGTGGCTCCTTGCCTCTTTACTCACTAATATAATTGATGATTATAATATAACTAATACACTGCGGCTTATAATATTGTTGGCTCCTTGCCTCTTATATAACTAATACAATTATTTGTAATCTTGTTGGTTCCTTGCCTCTTATATAACTAATACAATTGCTACTTGTAACATTGGCGGCTTCTTGCCTCTTATATAGCTAGTACCATCCCGCCAGCGGCTCTTTGCCGTGATTTGGCCATGGGAACAATGGCTCCTCGCCATGAAAACTGTGGGGCGGCGGACCTCAGTAGCCGCCTCACAAATTCATGAAGGAATATTTAACTTTAGGTCACATGTCTGAAATAGATGATCAGATTTCAAGTACTCCACACTACTTCATGCCGTATTAGTGTGTTTAAAGAGCACAAAGCACATCGACGAAGTTACGCGTTGTTTTCGACGCATCCTGTCGGACATCGTCTCAAATTGCGTTGAATGACCTTCTAATGGTTGGACCGACCATTCAAGAGGAGCTGTACTTGACTCTGCTTCGATTTCGACCCCACAAATATGCGTTGACAGCTGACATCAAAAAGATGTATAGGCAGGTCATGGTGCACGAAGCGGTTCGAGATTTCCTTCCGTAGTGTGGAGAAAGAACCCATCTGACTCTTTGAGGTCCTTCAGGTTAAATACCGTAACTTACGGCACTGCGCCTGCCCGTTTTTGGCAATACGGTGTTTATCCTAAGTGAGATGAGCGAATCATCACACCCTAAAGCTGCTGACGTTATCAGGTTAAGCACCGTAACTTACGACACTGCGCCTGCCCCGTTTTCGGCAATACGGTGTGTAACAAAGCTAAGTGAGATGAGCGATTCATCACACCCTAAAGCTGCTGACGTTATCAGGCACGACTTTTATGTCGATGATCTACTAACTGGTGCTGCATGCGTAGAGAACCTTCAGACAATTAAGTCTGCAGTGTCGCAAATACTCAAAAGCGCAGGTTTTCAACTAACCAAATGGTTTTCAAATTCTCCTGAGTTCTCCGCAACAAACGCAGCTAAGTCGATAGCGATCTCAGAGTCTGACACAACCAAAACACTTGGTGTGTTGTGGTTGCCGAATGAAGATGCCATTTAATTCATGATTGACAATGCAATCATGAGTCTTAGAGCGACAAAACGGAACATTCTCTCGGTGACATCGCGGCTATTTAACCCGCTTGGCTTGTTAAGCCCTTTGATAAACAAGGCAAAAATCCTACTCCAAGAACTCTGGCTTCAGAAGTTAGACTGGGATGAATCTGTCCCTCAGAGTCACAGTATATATACGCAGCCATAGTGCAGAAGGTTGTCGTATTTCGTTGTTGACATCCAAATCTAAAGTAGCCCCCCTCAAGACCAAGACTCTTCCCCGACTTGAGCTGTGCGCGGCTCACCTTCTCGCAGATCTTTGTCATCGCGTCAAAAATACTCATAAGATTAACGATTGAACGGACGGTTCTTTGGTCTGATTCTGAAGTCACGCTTCATTGGTCTGATTCTGAAGTCACGCTTCATTGGATTCGGTCACATCCTTCGTCTTTGGCAACATTTGTGTCAAATCGAGTGGCTGAAATCCAAGAATGGACAGAGAAAGCTGAATGGTGCCATGTACCTACAAAGCAAAACCCAGCAGATATTGTTTCAAGAGGCTGCGATGTCGATGAATTACTTGCGTGGATGTGGTTCGATGGGCCTTCATTTTTGAAGGAAGCAAGATAATCCCGGCTGGTTAACCAGTATCTGATGACAGATGAGAGTGTTCGCTTATGTGTTCCGCTTTATTGAAAAATGTAAAAATCTTGGATCTTGGTGCTCCTTTTCGTTGTGTGAGTAGGGGGACGACTTGAAAATGATCCTCTTTCATATGATGCCAAGTTTCCGCTACATTTAAAAAAAAGCTCGCAATTCGCTAGAAGCTTTATTAGATACCTGCATTTGACGAATTGTCATTTTTGGCTAATCAACGCTCAGGAGGTCTGTCGTCAAACAGTGAGATCATGTATCCGTTGCTTTAAATGCAAACCTCGTCTGCTAACACAAATTATGGGAAATTTACCAGCAGATCGACTCCGTGCTCTCCGCCCATTTTCTATCTTTTTGTCTTTTTGAATGCGTGGAAAGCCTACGTATAAGTCGTACATAGCACTATTTGTTTGCTTCGCCTCCAAAGCGGTTCACTTAGAACTAGTATCTGACTTATCCACTAATACATTGCTCGTAGGAGCAAGTCGCCAGTTCCTGGAGTTGCAAGCTCGATTCGGGGAAGAGGCGCACGCAATTCGCGAATTCGCATCAAAAAGCGGATACGAATTTGCGTTCATACCGCCAAGAGCTCTGCACTTCGGGGGTCTGTGGGAGGCAGGTGTGAAGTCTGCAAAGCACCTACTCCTACGGACGGTAGGCAGCCTACTGCTAACGGCCGAGGAGCTGCAGTCGAGTCTTGTCGCAGTGGAAGCCGTCCTCAATTCCAGGCCCCTGGGAGCAATAAGCGAGGACCCATGCGATGGCGAGGCTCTAACGCCAGGCCACCTACTGGTGGGAGGCCCATTGAGGGCTCTGCCAGCAGAGGGGACCCCGGACCAGCAGGGTCTCACCTGCTTGAATCGATGGCGAGCTGTCTCGTTGCTCAAGCAACAGTTTTGACCGCGCGATGGTCAAAGAAGTATGTGCTTGGACTCCAAGTGCGGAGCAAATGGCCCCGCGCCTTCCAAACGTCATCGTGGGAGAGGACAATCTGCCACCCCAGCAGTGGCTGATCGGCAGAGTGACGGCAGTGCACGCAGGAGAGGACGGCGTCGTTAGAGTGGCAGACATTAAGATGGCTAGTGGCGGAAATTTTAAAAAGCCGATCCACAAGTTGGCTCGGCTACCCATGGAATGAAGCTCCCAAGCGCTTTATGGTGGCCGGTGTTGGCGTAGATCCGCGCATTGAGATTAAAAATGAATTTGAAAACATGAAGTCTAGTGTATGTTAGGTTTAGGGCGGAGCGAGAGCGCAATAAAGCTTTATCACTCGCTTTGGAGCGAATTCGCCTCGCTTCGCTACCTTAGCGTAATGTATACTTAAGTCAGTTGTCGAATTATATCAAAGCGATACGCATAGCAGTCTTTTAAAGCCACCACAATTTTCAATTTGCTTAATTATATAAACTAATATAATTTTTCAATATTATAAAATATAAAATGAAATAACAAAAAGAAATGAATAAATAGAGTGAAATACACGCACAATGTGGTATGAAGTGGAGTCGAGACTATTGCAGTTGAACTCGTATTTCAGAAAATGCGAACTTCAACGCAACGATATCTCATAATAATTAATAACTACCCTCGTACAATTCCGAAACAGCTGCAATTAAATTATAAAGTGAAATATAGAATGTGGTACAAACTTGAAGTTGCAGTTGAATTTGTATCTCAGGGCGACTTACAATTTTCAACGGAATGATATGTTTCAAAACAAAAAAAACTTCCCTCGTACAACTGATTCGAAAACTGCTGCAATTGGATATGTACTTCAGTGCAACTCAAACCGAACCCATAAGCAACTCAACACAACAAGTTTGAAGAAGTTGCAGCCGTGGCTATATTTCAGGGCGACTTCTAGACCAAAGGCAGCAATTCACAATCATACCTATCGAACACGTAGCTTACAAGACACAACAAGTTCGAATAAACGGCGACTTGTGCACCAAACGCACAAATCCACAATTAATCAAACCACCCCCGTACTCGACAAACAAGTTGCGACAATTTTGTTTGAATCGCTATTTCAGTGCGACTTACCGACGAGAATAATATCAACGTTAGAACACCACTTAAGATTATAATTTTTCAAAACAAAAACTAATGCAATTATTTGTTTTACCATGGCATTCACATTTATAAAATAAAATAGATTATGAATACATTACTAACAAAATCCAATCTACAGATAAGACACACGTTCCACCACGGTGACCGCCACCTTTCGCAAGCTTCGTATATACATATATATATTTTAAAAAACAATCTAATGGAAAACTATTAATAAGTAACCTAATCAAAGCAAAACATATTGTACACCCTAGATACATAAGTCTAAAACACAAACACTTAAAACTAGATTAAATATTAGCAGGACAGCAAATAGCGAATAACCAAAGTACAGACAGAAACTAGTAAATATCGAATATTGGGAGAGTGAAAAGACTCATGTCAAATACCAGAAGTAAGCAAAAGATCAGTTCTAGACTTTCGGACGGCAGACTTGTTGGAGCGGACAATAACACTCCCATGACATCAATTTCAAGTTCGCTTCCTCCTAATCAAGGAGAGGTATTAAGAAACCAAATAGACGCGATTTTAGCTCTATTTGAAACCGCGATCCGATTTCTACCATCGTACGACGGTAACCCTAAGACACTGAGCGAGTTCCTTAATAATGTGGAAGAAATTCTTCTACTTATTAGGGGATATGATCAGACTTCCTATGGGCAGATGCTCTTAAGAGCAATTAGGAACAAAATTGTGGGCAAAGCCATCGAAGCTATAACAGAAGCCGGAGCTAGCCTCAATTGGGAGGAGCTTAAAGATGCACTAATTGCATATTGTGCAGATAAAAGAGGTGAACCCACTCTTATGTGTGAGTTACATAATTCAGTTCAAGGGGGGTCGTCCCTACGCGTTTTATACGATAAAGTTTGCCCTGTTCAGATTAAACGAAACAAAGGAATCTGATCTTATTGATCAAAACCAAAAAAATTATTTGCAGACATATGTCTGAATTCGTTACTATCAGGAGCCACAGTTAGGTCCATGAGGCCGACCAACCTTCGAGAGGCCCTAGAATGGGTACTAAAAGAAAGAGAAATTTATTTCTCCCAAGAAAATAGGAAAAAATAAGAACAAAATCGAGAGTATAAACTACAGGATAACAGGTCCGTACGAAACGATCGTAGCAACCAAAACCAAAATAATAATAACGCTATGACAAACGAAGCCATAACGAAGGTTATGATAGAGTCAATTCTAAACAAAGAAGAAACAATAACGTTCCGGCGATCATGTCTAAGGAAAACAGTTCCGACCAACAATACAAACAATCGAACAGATACCCAGGAAATTACCAGTCGAAAGGCTCCATGCATAATGTCGAGCGACAACCTGCTCAACTTTATAATTATAACGAGGACGCAAA